CGTCTGAAGCACCAGACCAGGGCCTTGTTTCCAGCAGCCGAACCCCTTCCTCCAGGCCAGCCCCCGGAGGACGGCACTGAGAACTCACCAAGAATGTCCGGGAGCGTCTGCCCCGCCCTCCCTCTCCATTCGGGCCCAGTCTTTCATTCTGCTGACCCACAACTGCAGTGACCAGAATAAGGACAGTTGTGAACGCCATGAACATCACAGGTGCCAATGCCACACTGAATGACCCACAGGAGATAAACAGAATCGTCACCACAGCACAGTGGGAACCTTGCGCTGGGCCGTGTGTCTGTGGAGGCAGGATCTGCGCCAGGCCAGCTCAGAGCCGTGGCCCCTGCCAGCCCCAGGGACATGCCTTCTCAGCCATCACTGGCTGCGACCCCACCTAAGTAACGCGCCTAACTGGGGTGGAGATGAAGGCGGTTGTGTCCCCAGGGGGAGGGGCTGGCACCCCACACACCCAGGACTCCTACCTAAGATCGGTCTGCACGTCCATTCAAGAATATCTCAGATGCCCCCCAGGAGGTAACGCACCCAGCGCTCTGTGATCACAAGACATCAGATACAAGCTCGGGCCCCTCCAGCCAGGGCCCACCCACCACCCCGAGCCTTTAACAGGCCTGCCCTGGCCCCACTGCCCCAGCCCTCCACAGGGTCTCCCCTCCACAAACACAAGGCCCTGCCATCAGCTCCTTGAAAGAAATGCCGCAGAACTCATGGACCCCTGGATGCTATGCCTTCTTTGGGAGCTAGGACACCCCCCTGGGGCACAGGGGGCCCGTGGCTCTCACCAGCGGGGCCTTTAGTCTCCTGTCAGCGATGGTGCTCACACGGAAGGCCAGGCTGCAGCCCCTTGCGGCCCCCTGGAGACTGGTCTGCACACTGGACTTGCATCCCTTTTCATACCATCCTGGAGTCTGTGAAACCGTCAGGCACTGAGCTTCCTCCCCGTCCGGTCACCTTACAGGCTCAGAACTGTTTGCAGGATTTACTCCAGTGTAATTAGACATACCGATAAAAACAGTGTATGGCGTGGAGCAACCTCTTTTTAAATTATTTAGTGAGGGAGGGAAGCCCCGCGAGGAGGCTCAGGTCCCCAGACAGCCCGGGGCGGTCTCAGAAGCCCAGGGCTCCCTGGAAGCCATGCCTCTCCTGGCATTTCCGCCTTTGGGGGTTTCCCTAAGTTTCTCCAACTGGTCGATGGGCAGACATGCCCTCCCCCTGGAAAACTGGAAAACAGAAGGGAGGTGGTTCACCACCATGCAGACTCCCATCTCCTCAGAACCACCAAATGCAGAGACGGGACCCCAGCGCCCCCAGGCCACCCTTGCCCTCGCCCTCAGCACGGTCAGACTGAGGAAGAAAGTGGACGGCAGGAGGCCAAGGCTGAGGGCAGAGGCCCCACCCCACCTGGACCCTATCCTGAGGACAGACAGGTGAGGGGGCAGTGGGCAGCTGCGCGTGACCTAGAGTGTGACCCTACCTGGCTTATCCAGTGCTCCCGTATCCCCAAGGCCCTGATCCCACCCCGCGGCCAAGCAGGAGTTGAGCCCAGCCCTGCAGCCGCCAGCCACGGGCCTCCGAAGGTGCATGTACTGCACAGGGAGGGCTCGGTGGCCCAGCCCAAGAGAAAGCAGCTTGCAGAAAGCCGGCAGACCGGGTGAGCCCAGCCTTCGTGGCTTGTCCCTCTGGCTGCCATCCCCGGCATTTTCCGTCCGGCCTATTTTAAACACAATTTCACACTGGGAACTCAAAGTGGCTTTAGATGGTGAACAGGTCGAGCAACCTGCACCCCAAGCTCTCATCTCTAAGCCAGAGACCCCTTTCCACTTGAGTAGGACGACTCTGGGGCTCTCTTAGCCTTTCTCATTCTTAGTGTCCCCACCTGTGAAAACAAGCTCCTCAGGGCTTACGGTGAGAAATACCCGACACCAGTGCACAGCAGGGGCACAGTTAAATCCCTACCCTACTCCAACCTGGACGTGGGGAGACCACACCGTGGTGGGGTGCCTGCCTGGCTCCCATTCACCCAGGCTCTGCAAGACTCCCCATGAACCTTCCTGGAGTCTATGAGCAACCCCCATGTGCCCAGATACACATCCCTGAAGGCACGGTTTGTGGCCTTTTCTGTGACTCACACCTCATTTGAGAAATCCATAAAAACGCCAGACCCTATACCTAGAAAATCCTCTTCTGCAGACACCCCTGCTCTTGGGGCACATGGGACCCCCAGGCCCCCGCCCTGGGGTCAGGGTGGCAGGCGACAGTGGGCAAAGTCTGTGGCTTCCTATGGCTGAGTCGGACCCCTTCCCCCAACATGGCCCATTTCCTTGTCACAGGGCCCCTACCCACAGCTGATGACGGTACAGGGAGCCTGCCTCCCAATTCCATCCGGGCCAGGCCACTTCTCCCTGGGTCCACGAGCAGCCTGGCTGCCCACCCAAATCTGCGGAGCAATCACGGAGGAGAGGCCCTCCTGCCAGCCGCAGCAGAGAAAGGGCCCCGGGGCTGGGAGGGGCGGCCTGCGCTGGTTCTGCTGTCTCGGGACCCCAGACTCAGGGAGGCTCCCGTCTCCAGAAGTGCCTCTGGAAGAGGTCACAGCGGCTGCTGGTGACCATGGCCCCGAGCCCAGGGCCACGTCTGCAGAGGGCAGGGGACCTGGCCTGAGGCCCACCTGGCCTGGGGAGCACGCGGCAGCTGCCTCCCTCCCCACCTCGCACAGCCGCTGTCCCTGGAGTTTGCTGGGATACTCAGAGAAGCCACCACACCTCCACCTTCCAGAAGCCAGACTTTGGTGGAAAAAGATACCGAGAAAGGTGGCCCAGGAGAGCTCAGCACTGCCTCAGACCGGAGGACTCAAAACTGGATCGCAGCCAGGCCAACCACAAGGCTGGTCCCTGCCCCTGGCTTCCCCAGCCCAGCTCAGAACCAGGCGGGGAGGAGGGGTGAGCTGTGTCCAATTAACAAATCAACAGGCCACATACACACAGACATGGGCAGTCCCACTGGGCAAGAGGGGCACAGGGGCGGCCACACCCTCGACCCTCTGGAGACAGCAGCACGGGGGCAGTACAGGCCTCCCATCGGAGTCGGGTGGGGCTGAGCCCCAAGGATGCACAGGGCACACGGGCAGTGGAGGATTCCATGCCTGGGCACTGGGGGATGGACGATGAGCAACAGCAGGGTGGGAGATGCGTCACCGGTGAGGGAGGGCCCACGGGCTGGCCCTGGCAGAGCCCATCCCGTCCAGCCCACCTCCACATGCCCTGGGCCAGGGAGCTACTGCACCCACTTCACTGGCCAGAAGGCTGAGGCTGCAGATTCCTCAACCAGACTTAGTACCCAACATGGCAAAAGACCCTGCTCTGTAGCACTGTGCCCTCCAGCCTGCCCCACTCCCCAGAAGGAAGCCCCTGCTTGAGGGGTCTTCTGAGTTTGAGCCCCCCACCCCTGCCCGTCAGCCAACAGGAAGGGAACTCAAGGAATCCACACGCCCTCAGGAGCAGAGAAGGGGCCTGAGCAGGCTGAAGGCTGGGGCTGCCTTGGCAGCGAGGACTGCCAGGCCCGGCCTGACTCTCCCTGCGGAGCGGCAGGCTGACCCAGGCCCCACATACCGTGCTCCCGGGTTGAACACCGCAGTTTTTAGGAGGCAGGAGGCATAAAAGGGTCAAGCACTTCGGGCCTGGGCAGGGAGGGGCCACTCAGGACTGGAGACGGGGCCACACAGAGGGGACCCCAGGAAATGCTGCCACCAGGGAAGTTTGTGCTCAAGCACAGAGAACTCTCGGGCAGCCACATCACGGGTCAGATGGGGGTGGGGGACAGGGGCAGCCACTGGGCTGCCTGCTTGCTGGAGGTGACCTCGGTCCAGGACCCGGCTGACAGAGCTGGGCCCACAGGGAACCCCTAGGGCCCCAGCCAGGCGCGGGGCGATGGGGGGTTTACTGGTGGGGAGACGGGCGAGGGTGAGCTGCGCATCTGAGCACGCCTGCGTGGGAGGCTGGGCAGGCGGGAGCTATGCTCTCAGTGCCCGGGAAGCCCCCACCTCTCACCTCAGAACTCCCAGGCATCTGGGCACTGGGGCTGGGGACAATGCCAGGGCCTCGCTGCCAGCAGCCTGGCATTTCCCCCTGGGGTCTTCTCCCACAGTCCAGAGGGTCTGTCCAGAGCACAGCTAACAGGGCACGCTCCTGCACCCAGGGCTCTGGAACGGTTTCCCAGAACCCGACCCTCACTCCCATCCCAAAATGCCTCCCTCACACAAAATGGCCGAGCCCCGGTCCCAGACTAGCTGGGATGGGAGAGAGCGCCCGCACGCTCAGGGCTGTGCACGCCGCGGCACAGGCCGCACATGCACACGCAGCGACTCCTGCACAGACGCCGCGCACCGAACACCCACATGCACACGCCTTCCGCCGAAGGTGCTGGCCCTGCCCCAGGAGCCAGGAGGCCCCTGAACTGTGGGCCAGAGAGACCAACAGCCCCGGAGACGGTGGCCTCCATCCTCCTGGGGACCCACTCGCCACGGAGGGGGTCCAGAGCCCAGAGGTGACAGGCGTACACCTGCCCTTCCAGCCAGCAGCTGCAGAGAGGGGCCGGGCTGCGCTGAGTGGACTGGGCGGGTGGGGGAAGGCCGGGCCAGGGTGGGCACAAGCACCGCGGGGCACGACAGTCCACCAGCCTCAGCCTCGGGCCAAGGGAGGGAAGTAAGGTTAGGACCCCCCATTTCAGCAGCCCAGACGCTCACCAAGGAGTGGGCAGCTTGGAGGGAAGGGGGGGTAGGCCAGCCCCTCCCCCGCGCCAGCTCCCCTCAGGGGGATGCCCAGCCCAGAGGGGACCCGTAGGCGTCCAGGCCCGGCGGGCCCTTTGTTCGGAGCCCCGGCCGTGGGGAGGGGCCTCCTGGCAGGGGCGCAGCGCGTCTCCCCATCCTGCGGGGGAGGGGCTGATGCGACCGGCCCGCGCCCCTCCCGCCCCGGCCCGCGCCCCGCGCTCACACGTAGGCGTGGTAGACGAACGCCCAGCCGCGCGGCCTCTCCAGCACGTTGTACAGGAAATTCTGCAGCTTGCGGTAGAAGGCGTTGCGCTTGGGGGGCTTCCCGGCGCCCGCGCCGCCCGCGCGCGGCTTGCTCAGGATGCTGCCGCGCTTCGGGGCCTCGGAGCCGGCGATGAGCAGCGCGCCGTCGCGGGTGGAGTCGGGCGCGCCAGGGTCCAGCCCCACGAAGCCCACCTTGAGCTTCTTCTCCCCGCCAGGGCCGGGGTACACGCCGCCGTTGCGTGACTTCTGCACCATGGTGCCGGCGGCGCCCGCGGGCGCGGTCAGCGGGGGCGGCGCGCGGGGGGCGGCGCGGGCCCGAGCCCAGGCCCCCGGCCCGGGAGCCACATGCCCAGGCGGCGGCGGCGGCGGCGGCGGTGGCTCCGCGCTCCTGCCGGGCTGGGCCGCGCGCGGGGACGCTGCGGCCACCTCGCTCCGCGCGCCTGGGCGCCGGGCCCACGGCTCCGCCCGCCGCCTCGCCCCGCCCCCCGTTAACCCCCGCGCCGCCGCGCGGCGGACGGGCAGGGGCAGGAAGGGGCCGGAGGGAGGGGGCGAGGGGGCGGGGGCGGGGCAGAGCGGCGGCGCGGGGCGGACCCAACCGGGCCCGGCGTCCCGGCCCAACCCGCCCCCTGCCAGCGCGCAGTGAGGAGGGAGTCCGGCCCCCTGGGGACCTGTGAAGTGGGCAGGACCAGGCAAGCACAGCGCCGGCGCGGCCCCCAGCTCTCCCCAACCCAAAGCCCAGCCAGCGCCCTGCCCTGCCGGCTTCTCACCACCTGGGCAGGGGCTGGACAACTCAGAGTGCGATGCGGTGGGGTTGGAGGCTGTGTTTTGGCTCCTGCCAGGCCCTCCATTAAGGGCCAGCCCACCGGTCTTGGCCTCTTAAGTGGACCAAACATGAGGACTCCCCTAGACCCTTGTCCCTTGGGTTTGCAGTGAAGCATCTGGGAGAATTCCTGAGAGGTGGGTGAACTGGGTCTTGGACAAAGGGTCCTGGAAGGGAGACAGCAGAGGAAGGGGACCCTGAGGCATGAAGAGGGGCCTGGGCTTTGTTCTACAGACCCTGGAAGGCGCCTACAGCTGTGGCAGGGTGTTGTGGGGTGGGCCCCAGGTCAAGACCCAGGCCTGAGGCCAGTGGGGACGCTCGTACCACAGTCCAGGACAGACGAGGTGGACTCGGCACCAACAACAGGGTGCACCTTTGGCAGGGAGTAGGCAGAGGTGGCCTAGCCAGGGAGCATGGGTGTCCTGGGGGGTATCCCTCTAGAACTTGCTTTTGGGAGGCCAAAAGGACCCATTCCTCAACCCCAAGGGGCCCCCCCACACTGGGTGCGTAGTCGCAAAGCCGCTCTGGGGCCTGCCTCTAGGGTGTTTGGCTGCGGGCACCTCTACTGAAGACATCCGGCTGCTTCCCACATTTGCCCAGCCCTGTGGGGTCGACTAAGCAAAAGGCCCTGCCTAGCAGCCGATGTTTGTCCTCTGGGTAACTGGGTTCCTAAGCCGGAGGTCCCCTGGCGGCCACTCAGCTGTGCTGTTTGCCCTTTGGGTTCCAAAGCTGGTGGCTGTGTGACTTTTTTCTTTAATTAGGCAGAAAGTCTGTGGTCAGTGCAGGTACCTGTGCTCGTGTGTAAGTCATCTCGAGTGCTGGGGGAAGACTGCAGCTTAGGTGACATGCACACACACAGCTGTACAAACAGAACCCAGGACCACACCCCTGACCCACCTCCCAGGTCAGTTATTACCTCTGATCACCAGCACGAGTGTGTTTGATCACAGATGGCTGCAGTCTTTCTGAGTGTGTGCGCCCCCGCTGAGCCCGAGCTGAGGGGTGGGAAGACCCGGATTGCAAGAGGGGAGGGGCTGCACCAGCTGGTCTGCAGGGCTGGCCTGTGGCTGGCTCTGCTCAACAGCCTCTGGGGGACCCTCTTCCTCACCCTTCCGGAGCCTGGACCAAGTGACTGTGACTCAAATGTAGAGACTGGCCTCCGAGCTGGGCATAGTCCCTCCTGGGGGAACCCCTTCTCAGGGTTTGATGTGAGAGCTAAGTGGGCCTGTGACCAGGGCTGGTTTTGAGGACAAGGCAAAGCAATTCCCAGGGACCATTTCTGCAGATGTACGAGCATTGAGGTGGGAGCCTGGTCTGGGGTCCCCTCCAGGCCAGGACATTGGAAGGCAGACTCCCTCTTCTTTAGCGGGGGAGGGAGACATGCCCCTGCAGGGGGTACACCGCCAGCCAGTCTGGAGGGGGGCCCACTTGGGACAAGGGTGCCCTCTGTCCCCTTGCCCACAAATGGCATTTGCATCCACAGCTTTGCCACAGCTCTCGGAGGTCCCAGAGGCAAATCCTGCTTCGTTCGTAGATCTTTGCTTCCTCTGTTCAGGAAGCCCTTCGATGCACCGGTTCATCAGCTGTTTCCAGCTTCGTGGATGGTGCATGTCAGCAGCTGGCCACAAGCAACCCCACCTCTGCAACCAGGCTAGGTGGGTCCCTGAAGACACTCAGGTGGGGGAAATTTCATGTGACAGGAATTCTCCCTGTTTAAAAATAGTTGGAAAAGCTTTCAGGCTCAAGCCATCTTTGCCAAGACTGTGCTGACAGGATCCAGAGAAGAGTGGAAAAATCCCAATACATGACTTCCAACTCCAGTCTGGGGAGACAGCTTTCACCTGGACAGCGAGGTCCGGCCCTGCTGGCAGCCAGCCACGCTGGGCACTGCCCTTTCAGCACTGAATCCTGCCCAGAACGTTCCAGGCCCAGCACACTTCTCTGCCCTCTCCTGGGGGCTCCACCTCCTGTCCTCTGCACTAATGCTGGGCACGTCATACCAAAGGCTGGCTCAGAGTTCCCACAAGCCCTCACCTGCCTCCAAAGTGCTCTGTGAGCTCCCTCCCCATCAAGGAGTCACCACTTGGGTGGTGGCCTACTCCCCAGCCTGGCTGTCTGCCTTCGGGACACACAGAGCCTAGCACAGGGGCCCACAATGTGTGGGCAATAGATGCCAAATGAAAGCACATCTGGATTACCCTCTCTCTTGGGGAGCCACCTGGCAACTCTCTGTGGTGGTGCAGGCCAGCCAGCAAGGCTCTGCCTTTCCCAGACACCCGCTGCTCTGCCTTCCAGAGGGCCTGACTCTGGTCTCACAGACCTAACACCCAACAGCAGGCCCAGGCGGGGAGCTGTTAGAGTGTCTGGGAGGAGCAGCCCTCTGCCGGCTGTCCGTCCTGGCCGCAGGGTGCTGGCAGCGAGGAGAGCAGGTGGAGTGCACCGGCCCTGACACCCTGTCTGTGGGGGCCCTTTGGCACAGCCCCACTGGGTGCCCTATTGACACCCTGTGGTCCTGTAGAAGAAGATAGTTGTGTCCGGGTATATCAACATGCTTGAGGTCCGCAGGCCAGCAGCCATGTGGACACCAGAGGGACGCTAAAAAGCAGGGTTTCCTAACTCACTACCGTGCTCACCTCCTCCCACCAGAAAGGAAGCAAGCTCCTTCCTCAGTCACAGGCCTTCAGAAAAACAGATGACCCACCCCCACCACAGGCCCAGAGGGGGCATCCACTGGGCTGAGAAGCAAGACTTAATTTGGGGAAATGAGAAGAGACAGGTTCTCAATCACTTAACCTGGGTCAGGACTGCTGTCCTCTTAATCCCATAATTTGGACAACAGGAAGTGCCTATCCAGACAGAAAGTCCCGGCTCTCCCCCACAAGGAATTTTCCGTTATTAGGAGGGGAAGGGCTGTATTTATGCAACTCATGGGAGAGCGGGGGAAGTGAGGAGAAGATTTAAGATTCAAAAGCTTTGTTTTTTTTAAACATCTCACACTAAAATCAATAGAAATTTAATTTATAGTATTTTAAAAGAATCAGAGCTCTCAACAAGCTTCCCCTGCCCCCTGCAAACCAGCTAATGGCACGAGGGACCCTTGTATTTCTCAGCCACCCTGACTCTGGGAGTCAGTGGCCACCTGTGACAACACAGGTCAGCTGAGAGTGAAGGTGGCCCTGGACACCTCCAGAAGGGTGGGATCAACGTGTAGAATCTGGGCCCTCCAGGGAGCCTGCGTGGCCTCTGCGGTGATGGCCCCCCATGCCCTGCACTCTGTTGGCGGCTTCCAGGAGCAAGCCAGGTAGTCTCTGGGAGGCTGTGGGTCTGCCATTTCTGGCCCACAGGCTTTTGTATGCAGCATCCCATATCCCCTTCCCACACCTCTGGGCAAATGACGAACCTGTCAGGCAGTCACCCCGCTGATTCGTGGCAGGTGAGGCAGGAGGGACCGACAGCCCTCAGCTCACTTTGTGGTGCCCACACGTGACCCAGGCCCCACGAGGGTGTTGGTGTCGACACTCCCATGGCACTTTGACTATAGCCAAAACTGCCCTCACCACGGTCTTTTCACCGGTGTGATCTGGTCTCACCTCTCTGCACCTCTCCCCGACCTCCCCTATCCTCGTCTCCCACCCTCTCCAGGGGCAGGCAACAGCCTCAGTGACCCTCAAGCAGGCCAAAGAGCCTTTGCACATACTGTTCCCTCTTCCAGGAATGCTGTTCCCTCACTAGCACTGTTCCCTCTGTGAGCATACCTATATTTATTTATATCAGTGTGATGTGATTTATAACAAGAAATATATGGTTGGTCTTTGTTCCCATTCCAGGCACGGAGCACCTAAACCCTTGGGATTTCCCAAGTGTGAAGCTGTAACGCATCTTAAGTTAATGAGGTGACTCAGGGACCACACCTAAGAAAAAGGCTTGGTTGCCAGAAGAACCCACCAAGTGATTTATTACGGGGTTAGAATTTCCAGTCCTACATCCTGACCTCTGGGGAGGGTACAGGGTCTGCAAATTGAATTCTATTGCCAATGGCCAAGAATTTAATCAGTCCCGCCTATGTAATGACGCTTCCATAAAAACCAAAAGATGGGGCTCATTCCAGGTCTCTGAACACATGGAAATGTGGGGAGAGCAGGCAGTCTGGGAAGGGCAAGGAAGTTTGCACACTTTCCCCATGCCCTGCCCCACAGATTTCTTACATATAGCTGTTCTTGGGTTATATCCTTTGACAATAAACCATTAATCTTATTAAGTAAAATGTTTCTCTGAGTTTTGGGAGCTGCTCTAGATGATTAACCGACACCTCACCTCTGTTCTCCATCCCACCAAGGCCCCCGCCAGATCTCCTGCCGCTCTGGCTCGATCGTGACTCCAGACATCCTCACAAGTCAGCCCCTTTGCCTGTGGCTCCCACCATGGAGCCGTCACACACGCTGTCAGAAGGCCCCCACCCGCAAGCGCCTCACGACCCTGGACACAGGGCTTGGGCCACGTGGATATAAGC